TTTTCCCGGATGGTCTTGGAACAAGAGTCCAAACTTTGTGCCTTTCAAACTCATTCAGTTCTTCTTGCATGGCTTTGATCCAATCAGCATCTTGAAGAGCTGCGTGTATTTTATCAGGTAAGATCATTGAAACAAAGTTAACATACATGCAAAAGTTATTAAGTGCACTAGATCTGGTTCGGACACCATCATGAATATTCCCTATAATTCGATCAACAGGATGATCTCGATGTTCAATAACTGATGCTGATTCAGGAGATATGGATGCTGACACATTATCAGTTTCAGGAGAATCTTCAGCTTCAAAGGTTTCATCAGCACTTAATGAATTGTCAGTGGCTGCAATATCTTGAGTCAAGGAGCATGGAAATGGAATGATAGGATCAGAGGAATCAGTCTTATCTTCTGTAGAAGATACTTCATCGAAGGGACAAGAGAGAAGTTCTTGAAAGATAGAAGGAGAATGAGAGACCTTTTCATCAGTGTATGATTCCTCATCAAACTTAACATGAATGGATTCTTCAATGCATTGCCTATTCACATGAAAAACACGAAAAGCTTTCGAAATAGAAGAGTACCCAACAAAAATACCTTTATCAGCCTTAGGTTCGAATTTGGACCTTGGGTCACGCTGATTGAGAATGTAACAAATACATCCGAACACATGAAAAAAGGATACATCTGGTTTTCGACCTTTTAGCATTTCATATGGAGTCTTCTTGTGAACCCTGTGAATTAAAGATCGATTCTGAGTGAAACACGCTGTATTGACAGCTTCAGCCCAAAAGGACATAGGAAGACCAGCACGGATCATTAAGGTTCTTCCTGCCTCAATCAGTGTTCTATTCCTTCGTTCAGCAACACCATTTTGCTGAGGAGTACGAGGAGCTGAGAAGTTTTGCCCAATACCTTTGACGTCACAAAATTCTTCTAGAGTTGAGTTGCGGAACTCAGTGCCATGATCACTTCTTAGTTGCTTAACTTTAAGACCTGTCAGTGTCTCATTTTTACGAATTAGTGAGATGATCTCTTGTGTAGCATGATTTTTCTTCTTCAAGAAGGTTACCCAAGTAAATCGAGTGAACTCATCAACAACCACCAGAGTATACTTATTTCCAGCTAGAGAACGAACAGGAATAGGTCCGAACAGGTCCATGTGAAGTAGATAAAGAGGAACTGATATACTAGAGCACGACTTGGATTTGAAAGAGGACTTGGTTTGTTTTCCTTGTTCACAAGCTGAGCACATCTTGTCCTTTATAATGCTGAATTTTGGGAGCCCTCTAACTAGGTCTTGATTGGATATCTTGGATAGATTCTTGAAATTCAGATGAGAAAACCTTTTGTGCCAAATCCAACTAAGATTCGTCTGAGACTTTGTAAAGAAACATT